GTTTTGGTTCATTTTAGTACCTAAACTTTCAATTTATTTCAAAACTAAATGTTAAATTTTTAACAGAGATACTAAAATATAACAAAAAACTAAACTTTGAATATATTTTTTAAAAAAACATTGAAAGTTTAGGTATTAAAATGAACAAAAACTGATAATTTAGGTATAAATGCATAGTTTACTCTTATTTTTAATAGCTAAGATTGATTTTTTAAGTAATGTGAACAATAATATAGTTGGTAGGTGCACCTAGATTGGTGCAATGTCTCGGCACTAACGTGACTCCTTTAGCATTATTGATAATGCCGTCCTAAAATTATGTTCATTATATCTTTAAAATAAACGTTGAAGATTGATATTTTAAAAATTATTTTTAAATTTAAATTTGAACACTTGTGAGGTATGAATGTATTTAAAAAAAAGTAAATATGTTTTAATGATATCAAGTTTATTATAAAATAAATGTTTAAGTTATATCACGTTTAATTTATGAGATTTAGAGATGTTTTGAGAAAATCAATAGATAGAGTGACCAATGAGAATGATACAAGTTTATCGGTGTCTAGGACGCCGTGAAAGATGTAAGAGCTAAAAATGAGTGAAAAACTTTAACTTTAATGACAATATAAAGTAGAATAAAAAATTATTTTTAAACTTCCACATCAACACTATTTAAGAGTCAAACCACCATGCCATCTTATTGTTAATGGATTAACGCCCCTGGTATAGTTAAATCATAACTCCATACTATAGTTCAATGCTACAATTGTATCAATTTAAAGGTTAGTGATAAAATAAAGATAAACATTAAAATTTAGTGGTATCTAAAGTGATTTACTCTTTTATTTTATTTTATTTTATTTTATTTTATTTACCTTGTTAACACCCCACATCAGATTACAAATTCAATGGCGTCAGATAGAACGAATGGTTTCAAAGACCTGATTGATATATACTAGTATTGGGAGGGTATAAATAAAATAATAAATTTTCACAAAACTAAAAGTAAATTACACATTTAGTCGCTCAATTTCTATTGCACTTTTGTTTTGGCCATCCAATTTCAAAAAATACTCTACTACCCAACTTTGATTTTTTTCCACCTAGTCTTTAAGTTTCTAACTTGTTTAGTCTTGGGGCAAATTTATGCAAAAAAAAAAAAAAAACCCAAAGACATTTATCTTATATTTTTTAACTTCATTTTATTACTTACATGAAAGTATTTTCTTCGAAATCTAAATAGTGAAGAAATTGAGGATGAGAAAAAGAATATATATTGATTCTATGATAATTAGACTATGGAGATTGCATACTAAATCAAGATAATCTCAAATTTTTTTACTTAAGTTTTATTTATTTCAAGAAAAATCAAATTGAGAGGACGAAAGAAGAGAGAAATAAATATTTTAAAACTGTTACATCATAAATAATGATCGACGATGATAAAAAAAATGACGTTGAACATGAAGAAGAATATATGTGAAATATAGATCAAACTTCTCAAAACATAATGTTTTGTTGTTGTAATTACATAATTAACGATTTTGATTTTTTTTAAAAAATTGAAGGTCGGACGGTATAATAAAGAATGATAAAATTGGGTGACATAAATAAAATCACAATAAAAATTAAGTGATTAAATATATAATTTATCCTAAAATTTTAGGTATGATGCTATTATTTATTTAGTTATTGGTCGGAAAAATAAATGAATGTGGGCAATCGCCTCTTTTTGTTATGAATTGCGGGTTGATATGTTTCCTTCCCCTCCGAATTGCAAGCCGAAGCTTGCTTTCAAGTAGGGATCAAATTATAAAAAAATTATTAAATGATTTCGATTTATCTGAATCTTACATAGAAATAAAAAATGAATAATTATTTAAAATTTATTTTAAAATTTGTGACTTTGACGATGAAATAATTTATACAAATTATGAAACACTATAGATCTGTCCACTTCTCAGACAACAACTCCACGGAAATCGATATCCACTCCCAAGTCCAACATCCAATCATCGTACATCCTCATTTTACACGAGAAAATGTGGACCGCAAGGCCCAGCTTGTTTCTCAAGTTGATTCTTAAAGGCTACGTTAGAAATTAAAACATTTGTCGCCAAACCTATTTGTATCTCTAAATTATGGTTAAGTTGCTCGTAGTTCTTCGTAGGATATATGCCAAACAAGAATGCGGTTTCAGATTTTAACAAGTAGGCATCTCCAAAAGAACTAGATCAATGTAGTACTGATGACAATTTTAAAAGTGGGCCATTAAGAATAATTAATCACGATAATAATATTTTCCGTCAATTTTATATATTTTTTATTAACGTAATAATAAATTTAACTCTTGATATTTACGCGTTATATTAATTTGTTTATATATATATTTTAAAAAAAATAACATATAGTTTACGTATTTTGTATATGGGGTAAAATCAATCTTTCATCACTTGACTTTCAACCTACTCTTATTTTGGTCATTGAAATTTATTTATTTTTAATTTAATCACTAAACTTGTGAATTGTTCACACTAAATCATAAAAGATGAGATGGCATGACTCTTTTTTATTATATTTTGCTATATCATGATATTTTTTATTAGTATTTGTGTCACGTAGGCTTTACAGAGAGAGAGAGAGAGAGAGATAAATCTCTCACCTTCACCTTCACCTTCACACCTCACCTTCACTCTCACTCGAAACACACCACCATTCACACCTTAACCAAAGCCTGACACCAACCATGAAACCGAGCTCCACTCATCGACCCGGCTCATATGCCCTATCCAAACGGCCACTGCCTCACCACCTTCTTTCTCAGCCATTATCCTATAAAGCCCTAAAATCGATAATCACCGCCACCACATTCACAGCTACAATCGAAAGTCGAAACCCAAATCTACCTACATTACCCTTTGCCTTTAGCTCTCTCATCTACCTCAATTAACCCTTAAAACGAAATCACCCTGCCCCACTTATTAGTCTCATTAAACCTTAAACCAACCTAAACTATACCTTTACCCATTATAAAACTCATCTCCCACATCTACTTCTATTAGCCCTTAATTGAATCTATCAATACCCATTTTACAGTTTTACTACCCCCGTTAAATCTTGAACCAACTTAAACTGCACCCTTCACCATTACCAGCCCCAAAGAACTAAATCAAACTAACAACAAAATCACGTTAGATAAAAATGCAAAAGCAAAATTTAAAAAAGATAGGAAAAATTACTAGATCTATTAATTGGCTGAATGATTAAATCTTGTGTGAGTTTGAATCTTAATATTTGCTTTAGAAATGTAATAACTCTCTACTTAATATTAATAAAAAAAAGGGGGGAATGTCAGCTAAATTTCTAATTGTATGGAAAGTTTGACCCAATTAAGGACCCAGTCCATTGCCAGCTAAATTGCTTCCCTTTGTCTCAGTCCACTTGCCTATAATGGAGTGTCCCAAAACCCTGAAGAAGGTCCCTTCCCTTGCTCTTATTGGGCTTCGTTTTATTTGTTTGAGATTGAACGTCAGCTGGCTCTGTCTTGTAGTTAATGCTATGAACAAGAACATCACTGTTCTTTTCTCAATATTAATGGTCAAATATCAGCCGAGTAATGGCATCACTTGCTGCAACTTTTTTGAATATGAGAAGAGATATGTAATTATAATGATCTATACATCACTGTTTCTTTTTTCTTTTTTTTTCATTTGACCATAATCTTTATCCTCCCTTTTGGTAAGCCCACATAAGATTTTTAAATTGCGATGGGATATTACCATGCATGTATCCAGTAAGGGGAGTTTAAATTATTTATTTGGAACTATGACTTAGTGACATTTGATCTAAGGAACTCTATTATTTAATTCAATTCTTATGTCAAAAGGAGATAACATTTATATTACTATAATAAGTTGGTTTCCAATTTTATTCATTTGTTGTTGTTGATGGCCGGTAAATACCTTGCCCGTAGAAGAGAAGAAGGTTGAAACAAAATTTCAGTGCACGAAACTTCTATTTTGAAGAACCACACTAATTACCACCAAAATCTCATCAATTTATCAACGCAATTTGTGGTTATTTTTCAAAAACAATAGTATATTTTATTTGAGGGAAATTTGATTGACTTGGAGGGGATTGCTCCATGTTCAAAACTTAGGCAACTTCTGCTTTTCCTTCTGTCAGCACACCATTTGCAGAAAAGATGTATGAAATTTGCTTGAATTTTCCTCCATTTCAGCTTTCAATTCATTAATGAAAGACACTTTACACATGTCGCAATCCTCCACCAATTACCAAATTGACTTCCTTTTGCTCTGTGAAGACTAAAATTCTTCCTTACTAGCCTACTTCACCTAACTCGGTACAGGTTACACAAGCAAACAACATTTCCTTTGCAAAGCCATTTGTCTTATAAACAGCAAACCAAATCTTGTATTTAGTTTCCAAGAGGCTGATCATTTGACACTTGGTTGGTTAAGTGGAAAGAACATTGAAAAATATGGAAATTTCATGTCCGTTTCTAAAATATAATTTTGATTTCGAATGTGAAAAAAGTGGTACTTTTACATGTTGCAAAACCACCGTATCGGAACATCAAAGTGAAAATATTAGGCACGTAAATAATAAACAAACTTTAACCTTTCCTATTTGCAATTTGCCCGTCTCTTTGGTCTTAATGGTTCAGCTTCACCATTCACGTTCAAATATTTTGTCCAAATCGGCGCGTGAAAGGGATATGGAAAAGTCAGACAGTCAAATACCAAAATAAATAAATAAATAAAAACCCACAAATGGGTTCAATAAAATAGTATAATTTGCTGCTATTAACTTAATCAGTTGGGATTATATTACTATGATTAATCTCGTGGGTCGTCCTGTTGAGTTCTTCAATAAATAATTATTGTTTAGTTTTAAAGTTGGTCTTAATCCCATCGTTGCCACCCTCTATATAAGCTCATCTTATGTACCATCTTCAACACTAATTTAAATCTCTCTCTCTCTCTCTCAGCTTAGAGTTTCATCTTGGGCTCTTTTGTAGTTGAAAAAATGGATGTTTACAAGAAAAGTTTCAGATACGATAATTCAAAAAGTGAAGAAGAGATGGATGGAAGGAAAGGTCCATGGACTGAAGAAGAGGACTCAGTGCTTAAGGCGTACGTCAATATCCATGGCGAAGGTCGCTGGAACTCTGTTGCTCGCTATTCAGGTTAATATTTAGTTTCATAGAAACCCAGAATTTTTAGCTTGTCATTCGTAGTTCGGCACATTGTGATGTGAAATGGGTTTACAGGATTAAGAAGAACTGGAAAAAGCTGCAGATTGAGATGGCTGAACTATATGCGACCAGAAATCAAACGAGGGAACATCAGCCTCGAAGAGCAGCTTCTGATTCTTGAACTCCATTCTCGTTGGGGTAACAGGTTTCTTCTTCTTCTTCTTTGTTCCTGAAATTCAATTAACAGATGGAATTATGAATGATTTTAGCTAATTTTAGCTTACTTTGAAGGTGGTCGAAAATTGCACAACACTTGCCTGGAAGGACAGACAATGAAATAAAGAACTATTGGAGAACAAGAGTCCAGAAACAGGCCAAGCAGCTTAAATGCGACGTCAACAGCAAACAATTCAAGGACGCCATGCGTTACGTTTGGATCCCCCGTTTGATCGAACGGATCCGTGCTTCATCACAGTCAACGTCAGGTCAACCGCCCACCATAACCAACATAACAATTGAGTCTGGTTCGGTCCAGGTTGACCCAAGTTTCTTGCCCGAATTATCCGGCACTTCGTCGGACTCCCAAGTCTCTTCCGTCACGGACCTGACAGATTGTTACAATCCACAAAGCGTTCCGAACTACCCCAATAACATACGAAACGGGTCGGGTTTCGAAAACACGGCAGCTGAGGCATGGGAGTCGTCGATGGAGACGGTGTGGAATGAAGAGAATATTTGGTTTTTACAGCAACAGCTTCATGATGAGGTCCTCTAATGACAGGAATTCGCTTCAGTGACGCATCAGATTTCATTATATTCTCGAAAACATTGTCGCCATACTGTTATCTGATGACTGAGATTATGAATATAGAAACTATACTTCGGCTAACACCACTAAAGACGGTTGCTTTTGGAATGTAAATGATCCACACTACCCAAATCAAGGTTTATAGGGATAGGGATATGCAGTGATTACAGGGTTCTGAGCAAAGATATCGTCTGCCCTGTTCTTTGGGTTTTCATGTTCCAACATTCATAGTTTAGTTCGTGTTGAATTTTAAACTTTACTACGTTAAAAATACACAGTTTCTTGATGAAAAATATCTTAAATACACACGTATGCGTGCTTTCGTTTTATAATGTTGTTATATGGTAAGACAAATGTACGGTTTAAACAATTTGGGTGAGAGCGTGGCATGGAGAACTCCCCTCCAAAGACAAAGCTAGGGTGTAAATTGTTTGTTAACCGTCCATACAATATTGTTTATGTTCATTTATTGAATTAAATATATTTTATTTTTTATATTTAACTAAACAAATGAATATGGATAAAAATGTATTTGATTTGTTTATATTTACGAATAAGTTTATTAATTAATTTGTTTATAAGTTTGTTTATCGACTCATTTATAAACTCATTTATCCGGTTCTCCTTTTCCTTTTTCATATTTTAAATATTTATGAAAGTATGTATTAAATTAAACACATTATAAATTTTAGAGTTCAAACTATGAAGCCTAAGGAGCTGAAAAACTAGTGGCATAATTTCACCATATTCATGGACATTATTCATGAATGTTAAATGGATAAAGCAATTTCAAAAATAAATAAATGAATATAAATAAAATATGAACACATTTAAAATAAAAACGAACACATTAATATAATTTTATTCGTTTAAACTCCGTTCATTTACATCCAAAAAGTGAAAAAAAAATCAGGGGAGACAAATGACGTGGATCCTTCTTTATGTTTATCCAAGCATAAAAATTACATCTCGTGACTGCTGCAACTTAGAGAATCTAGAAAATGCACCTTGGTCAATCAATGATGAAGGCATTGATTTGGTTAATTTAAAATTGGAAAAACAGAAGGGGTCTCTAACCTAAACTTCCCCCTGCTGTGCTCGCTGCCTTCCTCAGAGTGGGGGAAATGAGTTAATTTTTTTATTTGATTTTCACCCCGAAACCCTTGAAATGATATCCAGTTCCAACAGTCTACCGGTCAACTTCTAATTCCCATTGGCGATCATTACTTCAATGAATCTAATATTCTTCTCAGGTTTTGTTTATTTTTTCATCAAACATATGGGATGCATGTTGCATATCATAATTCCCATTCACATTTTCCACCATATAATTCATTGAAAATGTAAATATAAATAAAATAATTATAAACGTTGTTGATGATAACTTTTAGGTTTTGAAGATTATTGATGATTTTTTCCCCAATTTCGTTGGTTTAAGAAAGAATTATAGACAATCAATGTTCTCTCGTTCAAAAATCTCAAAAATATCTAATAGAATTTCGAGAAAAAGTGTTAGTATTAAGTTTAAGACCATCATTACTATTTTTAAACTGAAATTCTGAATAGATATAATTATTTAACGATAGATTTGATTTTGACAATTACATAAGTTTAGTAGGGATATTCAAGAGAAAATAACATATAAGAGAATGTAAAACTCTAAAACTTGTAACTCAATCACATAAATCTTTTAAAAATCTATTTTTATTCACAAACGTCAATAAAATAGAATGGAAATATGGAAGATAATCCGTCCACGAAAATCTTGAATGAATAAAGGAAGTGTATTAAGAGCGTAAGACGGGCATACCGCATACATGTAACATACGTATTTTAAAAGCCAAATGAGCTGATCACAGAAAGCCAAAAAAAATTAAACAATAGACAGGCATCCATTGGTGCTAGGCTTGACTCTTGTAGGGTTAAGCCTGATCACAGGATAGTATGTAATAATTAACAAAATTGAAATTAGAATGGAAACGCCTTTCCGGATGCTAATTCCTTCCAAGTAAACGTTTTAGTGGGGTTTTAAAAATTGGAATGTGGGCTGAAAATGGTCTTTCTTCTTCTATCAAAATGCTGTCACCCCTTACGTTAGCAAGATGGCCGCTCCTTTGATTTCCTACACAAACTTTACCAAACTTTATTTTTTATATTTATTTGATTATAAATTTTGTGAACACCAACATAGACGACACAAAATTTTATATTGTAGACAAATTCATAAAATTTTAAAAGAATATGAATTTATGAAATTTTAGGAGGTAAAATATAGTCAACAAAAAATAAAAATAAAATATTTAAATATATATGATAATTAAATTTTTTAGGGCATGATTGCCTCCATCCATTGTTTCATTGGTCCATCCTTGAGCACGGAATTTGTTGAAGTAAAAAACAAAATTGGAACAGGATCCAAACATGGATCCATCTTCGTGTTTTGAGTTTAAAATCCAATGTAATTTAATTGTTTTAATTTATTTAATTAATATTAACCAATATCGGCACACACTAATAAAGGAGTATAATATTTTAAATAATGTAATATTTTGTCTTCATATTTTAAAGTATATTTTCAATATAGTCCTTATACAAGTACAATACTAACAACCTTAGTGTCACGAGCTTGGATCATACCTTTACTCTTTACTAGTCTTCATCAGTAAAAATAAATCAGCATGCTTCAATTATTCCCCGGTTCAAGAACCAATGCGTTTAGGAACGGACGCATGAATTTACCTGGTGTGAACATGAAAAATTATATTAAAATTTTAGGGTGTGAAATTAAATAATTCAGATAAAATATAAAGAAAATATCTAAAATACAATAAAATTTTAAATTTCTAGGTTGTATCCTACAGTAACCCTCGGTCCATCCCTAAATGCCTCGTTATATAACAAATAACTAGGGATGGATATAAAATTTTATATTAATACATAAACTTGTAAAATTTTAATTAAGGATTATCAGTTTATAAAATATTAAGGGACAAAAAATAAACTATAAAATTATCTAAATTGTATAAATTTCTTACTACTATTACTTCCTGCCCGTGATTCATATCCTTAATTACATACAAGTATACAATAGCATACACTTATTCTTTACTGATAGTAATGCAAGAGGGGCAAAAGGAAAAAAAGTAGAAACAGAAATAAAACACCATACGGGTTTTGAATTCAAGGCCAAATGCAACGATGAGGAGCTATTTTCCAAGTGCCGGCATCGTCGTCGTGTTCTAGCTCCTTGCACGGAGTCATCAAAATGCAGTTATGGAACCCTTGATTTATGGCGAAACGGTCAGCGTCATTGTCAGCTTCCTTGTCGACCTGGTTCGACAAAAGATCATGATTCTGGCATCTCATCATAAGCGCTTTCATTAACAAAATTAAAGACGCCATGCTTTTGCTCTCATGAATATATTATCAAAGGCTTCTAATTAGCTGCTCAGCCTATTATCCCCTAATATGAAAATCAGTATCTCCTTATCTATGCTTATGAATTTGGCCAACCAACGATATTAATGCAAGTAAACCCAAATATTATTTCCGGAAGGAAGGACTGTGAATCAATTCGTCATTTGGTTGGCGGGGAAGAAATGGGTTTGGTGAACTATTTACTTACTTGGGCGCTAAATATGTTCATGCAATCGGTGCCATGTAAGGAGTTCTGATCACGTCATTTACTTTAGTCAATGACCGTTGAACGACTTCACACAGAGTTATTATTATCGTATAATAAACTAAAACGAAAGCTAGACCATCTATTTACTCACTAAATTATGTGGTCGAATTTAGTTCAAGGGCTGAGTTGCATAATGAGTTTCAATCGACTGTAAACGAGGTTGTGTCGCGTTAGTTGGTTAAGGGGTGAGCATGAGCATCCGATTAGTCGAGTCGAGTCGAAATTTTTTGAGTTATTCGAGTTGATGAATACACATTTTATGACTCAAATTTAATTTGGATTTTTTTCGATTCGAGTCGAGTACTTTATGAAATTCTAGTCGAGTTGAGTTGAATTGTTCGAGTTTCTATACACATTTAATTGTAATTATTGATAGTATTATTATATAGATAGGTTCTAATTTCTTGATTTTTTTCTAACCATATAAGATATACATATTTCTTCACATCCTTTTCATATTATAATGTTCTTTATAATTAGTTGTTGAAGAGAAATGTATAAATATAATTAAAAGAATCTCGTATTCTTTACTATTCTATGGTATATGTATTCTTTCTTGAAGTTAAATTGCTAATGTTGCCATCAAAATGATGAAAAGCAGTGTAAGGACTTTAACACTGTCCGAGAGAATCAGGCAAGTATATGAGATCTTTATCATATGGACCTGCAGTAACTGGAGTCCATGTGTCACCATCGAGATTCGAATTATATGGAACTCTCGCTTGAATCCACTTGTCACCATCGATAAATTTCCCGACTGTAAATTGAGAAGCATTAACGGAGTCAATCACCCTGAATCCTTTCCATTTCACTCTATCATGTGTGCCGGATTCTGGACCTCTGCTATCGTATTCGGCATAATATAAATCCAAGTGAGAGCTTCTGTTATCGTATTCCATCCATCCCCGAGGATCGATGCTCCTATCGAGGTAAGTCTGCACCACAATAGTTCTAGAAAAATCTTTCCAAGGCCTACCCAAGTATGTTTTTACAAGATACTGAGATGCAATCAATTCTGAAGTTGCTCTAATCATGCAGTTGTGGATCACGAAGCCTCCTGGACTGGTGGTGACAGTGTCCGATTGTCCCTCGAGTGGCTTCCCAGCGAATATGTTGCAACGTTGGAACACAGCCGTTGCATCACCAAAAATGAAATCCACAGTCCCATAAATCTAGGATTCCCTAAAAAACTGATACCCTCTTTTAGCATAAAGAGTATCCCGGAATGCAATTATTCTACACTTGTAAAACGCCACGTAACTGGCTTTAACTAACGACGCCTCCGTCTGTTTCTTTTCTGGTCCAGCAACATTCTGGAAAGTTACACCCGAAGCAACAAATCCATCACCTGTTATCTCTGCATTGCACACATTCATGATTCAAGAATGAATAATAAGAAGAAAAATGTATTTATCTTCCATCTAAAACTACAAAGATTCAGCTTACCAACAGTTGCAGTCTTGATCGTCCTCAAGCCATCATCATGACTCCTGTTTCCCGTGATAATAGTTCTTTCCATCCCGTCCCCAATAAGTGTTCAAAATCCTTCCTAAGCCTCGTTTAAAAACAGGTCCATTTTTGCCTAATAAAAACATACTGACCCCAAAGATCATAAGCTATGTGCAAGAAACTACAATTACGTTGAGATCAAAGAATCAAAATAACCTTTACTGATCTACCAATTTCTAAATGCCTACAGTCGAATCCGTGTATTTAACTACAATAATCATCATCAGGAGTCTTACCATTATGAACAATAAACCATGCATATCGTACCCGATGATCATGGCGACTTCCAAGGGGCAGTAGCTAATTTTTTAAAATCACGCAAATTGTTCTGAACCTGTTCATTTAGAACATCAACATGCAACTTCAAACCAGCGATTTTAAGATTTTTAGCCTCCTCCTCCGACTGTATGACGGCACGCTGTTCTTGTAACTCGGTAATTTTCTTTTCAATCTCTTCCATCTCTTCAACCAATTTAGTTATCTCCTCTGTATTCTCAATTATCTCCCTTTCAGTATTTTCTCTCTCTCCTGTATGCTGTCCTTGGCCTTCCTTGATTGATAGTAATTTATTCAAGCGATCTCGAAGCACTGTTACAACAAATGCATGCTTCTCCATATAACTAAGACTATAAAAAATGTTATCAAATGTATCTCTAGGATCATCAAAACGCAACGCCGATATCTTCTCGAACAAACTGGCAAAGGTTACCATGATACCAATTGCTGATCCTTCACGAAACTCCTCTTTGTTTTCAGCCAATGGTTGAAAATATGGTTTTTTGGGCAGAGTTTGGAAGACATCCATAGATTCAATTGTTTGCAAGAGACTAGATTTCTTTACAAAAGGCAACATATGATCGTCTTCCAATAGGCTTCCAATTCTTGCTTCCATAGCAGGAGATTCAACCGGAACATCAACCAGTCCTCTATCCTCATCGCATTCCTTGACAAGCTTACCAGAGGGAAGTCCTAGAACAAAAACAAGCATAGTCAACAATTTCATAAATATACAAACCAAAGCATGATCTACATTCTGTACACATTAGACAACCGTTAAAAAAGGGGAAATGACCAACCAAAGAAAATGAGGATTTACAAATCTGATGAAGCAGCTTACTTGAATTTTCATCACCTGAAGACTGAATTGCTACTATCCATGTTGAGAGAGGCTGGTTCTCATCAGTTAGTTTACAATATATAAAGTGAGCAACCATAAACTACAAAAGAATAAAACATACTCCGATACACGGAATTAATTATATTTAACTTATAATTCAGGTAAATGACAGAAAAAGAAGTAAAAAAAAAAACTGATTGAAAACATGCATTAAATTTCCTCCCAACATCACCCTCCTGTCTCTCATCCCCAAGCTACAAAACTTTCCCCTTCTGTCATGCGAATCACTAGCCCAATGCTTCAACTATAATTCTTCTACAATCATTTCGTAAACTACTCGGAAATTTCATTTAATAAAATAGTCACTCATAAACTATGGTTAAAACATTGGAAGTGTCTCTACCCCAATGCTTCCTAAAGAACAGACTGCCTCATTTACCTGCCAGCTTCATTAGTTGTAGTCTTTAACAACGTTTTTATCAGCAACACCTCCAGCCCCATTTTGCTCCTTATCTAGAAATCATAACAGTAAGTTACATGTGCACTCATAAAAGAGCTAGAGCTTAAAGTATCATATACCGGAAACAAAAGCTTTCGGAGTTGTAGCTACTGATTTGCGTGGCCTTCCCTTCTCCCCGTTTTGATTTACACCAACTTTATGCTCCCTTATTTCCTATATCAGTTAGACCAGCAGTTGAAAGAAGTATCACAGGAAGATATACGTATGAAGTCACTAAAGGGGGTTCTTATTCCATGTTTGATACAACAGCAAGCTCAAGAAAATAAAAATAAAAAATCAGCAAAATGAGCTAAGAACGGTTAAATAGGCATTAATTATAAAAAAAATCAAATATTGTTGTTTACTTTCTATCAACCATTTCCACTATACCAGTAGCACATCTACACACTTTGCTCACAAGAAAAAAAACATAAAAAGAGGAACTCGGGTTTACAGAGGGTGGGGAGTTGCAAGAAAATGGATGCAACAACATTTGATTTTCAGGGGTTGAGAATAGCTTACAACAACAAAAAAGTTTACTTGTGCATATTTTCAGAAACCAAGTCTAAAACCACACTCACTGATAAATTGTTCAACTTTTATAAGCACTTGAGAACAATACCGGTGAATGTTCAAAATAGATGTTCAGATGACCATTGGGTGCAATATTAAACACTTTCAACACTCTGTTCCTACTAAAAATTCAAGTCACTTCAAATTTAATAGCAGGTTTATCTTGGCCAGAGACTACTACAATGTTGCTTACCATGCTTTTATATATGATTGAATCATTTACACTTTTAAGAAGATCCCTTATCTGAAAAGATTTTTCATCGCATAAAGTCTTTGTGAACTTCGCTGTTAATCCAGAGATGATAGGCATATCAACTTCCTTTGTTTTAGCTTCTCCTTCATTAATTTTTTCTGCAATCTCTAAATTTCCCTCCTTCGCTGAAAATTATGTATCACATTATTTTAAACAAATTATCAAACCAGCACACATTTACCATTGGCTATATGTACCTGCCGTCAAAACCTGTGAAAATACTGGCAACTGAACCAACTTTATGCTTCTTCTTAGCCTTCTGCATTAGAAAAGAGAAATGGAGGTCAAATAAAAGTAGTAGAGACAAAGCTGATCAACAAGATTAGCTGGTTTAGCCTACAAAAGCAAAATGCCAATAATCAATGTGTTGAAAGTATTAAAATGGTTTTCAAGTTTGGTAATCAACTTTAAAAAAATGATTTTCAAAGTTTGGTAAATGTTCCTTTGAAAATGGTTTTCAAAGTTTGGTAAATGTTTCTTTGAAAAATAGTTTTTCAAAGTTTGGTAGATGTTTGTTGAAAAATAATAATGGGATAATCATAATTAATCCCTAGGTTTTAGGGTATTTACAAGATTAAGTCCTTAAGTTTCAACTATAAATACCCTAGCTCATTTAGCTTCAAAACCATCCCAAAAATCATTTCTTTCTCCCAATACTAGAGAGTTTTCTTGTGAGTAGTGAGTGTTTTGTAAACACCTGTAAATTTTCTCTCTTAGTAAAAGATCTACAGCAGTCCGGAGACGTAAGCACAATTGGCTGAACTCCGTTATCAATTTCGGGTATTATTTTTCCGCTTTTATTTTGCATTCTCACTAATCTGGTTATAGGAAAATTACTTGTACTTGATTTATTTCCCAACAACTGGTATCAGAGCTTTTGGTTGTAAATTCTGTCAATTTTTTGCGAGGTTACTATTCGGGTTACTATTCACGTGAATAGTAAATTTCATGAATAGTGAAATTCAGTCGGCGATACGAGTTTGTCGACGGAGGTGTTCTAATACACGACGGTTCGTAGAAATTGTCAGAAACGATCCAAACGAAGCCAGATTCGAGTGGGAGCGATGGCTGCAGACGAAGGGAAGGTGAAAATTGAAAAGTTCGATGGTGCGGACTTTGGATTTTGGAAGATGCAAATTGAAGATTTTCTATACCAGAAAAATCTATATCAACCCCTCTCAGGAAAACAACCAGAGGGCATGAAGAATGAAAACTGGGCTCTTCTCGACAGACAAGCCCTCGGAGTTATCCGAATGACGTTATCCCGCAATGTTGCTTTCAACATAGCAAAGGAAAAGACCACGGCGGGTCTTATGACAGCTCTCTCTAGTATGTATGAGAAGCCATCGGCCTCAAACAAAGTTCATTTGATGAGGCGATTATTTAATTTGCGGATGACGGAAGGGGCATCGGTGGCACAACACCTAAATGAACTCAACACAATCACAACCCAGTTGAGTTCAGTGGAAATTGAATTTGATGATGAAGTTCGAGCTTTAATTCTCTTATCATCTTTACAAGACAGTTGGAATGCTACTGTTACAGCAGTCAACAGTTCGTCGGGAAACAACAAATTAAAATTCGACGATGTTCGGGATCTGGTACTGAGCGAAGAAATTCGACGGAGAGAATCGGGTGAAGCATCAACCTCCTCAGCCTTGCACACGGAGTCCAGAGGGAGAACTTCATAAAGAAATTCAAATCGTGACAGATCGAAATCCAGAAGGGGAAAATCAAGAACAAGAAATAAAGATTTTACCTGTTATAATTGCGGCAAGAAGGGCCACTTCAAAAGAGATTGCCGAGCACCGAAGAAAAATACCGGCGCACAGGAATCTGCCAACATGACGGAGGAGACAGGTGATGCTATGATTTTAAGCGTCAACAGTCAGATTGAATCATGGATTTTGGATTCAGGGGCATCTTTCCACTCCACGTCATGCCAAGAAATCATAGAGAACTATGTCAGTGGTGATTTTGGGAAGGTTCATCTTGCTGATGATGAAACCTTGAAGATCGTCGGAAAAGGAGACATCCGACTAAAGCTGCCAAACCAGACCACCTGGAAGCTGACAGGAGTGAGACATATTCCTGGTCTCAAAAGAAATTTGATTTCTGTAGGACAACTTGATGGAGAAGGATACAATACAACCTTTTCAGGATGTGAATGGAAGATTACCAAAGGAGCACTCGTCATTGCTCGTGGTAAGAAGACTGGTACTCGCTATGTAACATCAAATTTAGAGAATATCATTGCAATAGCAGATGTTGATGGAAAATCAAACCTATGGCACCAAAGGCTTGGTCATATGAGCGAGAAATGAATGAAGATACTTCTGTCAAAAGGGAAGCTGCCGGATCTAAAGAATGTAGATGTCGGACTATGCGAGGATTGCATCTTCGGCAAACAAAAGAAAGTCAGTTTTGCAAAGATTGGCAAGACACCCAAGGCTGAAAAGTTAGAGTTAGTTCATACTGATGTATGGGGACCATCTCCAGTTCCATCTCTTGCAGGCTCATTATATTATGTCACCTTCATCGATGATTCTATAAGGAAGGTGTGGGTTTATTTTCTGAAGAAAAAATCAGAAGTCTTTGATACCTTCAGAAAATGGAAGGCCATGGTGGAAAATGAGAATGGTATGAAAGTCAAGCGGTTGAGGTCTGACAATGGAGGAGAGTACAGAAATAGGAGATTCAGAGATTTTTGCGCAAATAATGGGATCAAGATGGAGACAACAGTTCCCATGACACCGCAGCAGAATGGCGTAGCAGAGCGCATGAACAGAACTCTGAATGAACGTGCCAGAAGCATGAGGATACATGCCAGATTGCCCAAATTTCTATGGGCTGAAGCTATTAACATTGCAGCTTACCTGATCAACCGTGGGCCCTCAGTTCCTTTGGATGGCAGAATACCAAAGGAAGTTTAGAGCAAGAAAGAAATAAACCTTTCACACTTAAGAGTGTTTGGTTGTATTTCTTATGTACACATAGACTCTGCTGAAAGAAGTAAACTTGATGCTAAGTCCAACAAATGTGCCTTTGTTGGTTACGGCGGTGATGAGTTCGGTTACCGGTTTTGAGACTATGAAAATCGGAAGATCATTAGAAGCAGAGATGTCATTTTCAATGAGAATGTGATGTTCAAAGACAGGTCAACTGTAGAATCAAGCAGCTCCAATACCAAAGCTGAAACAAAGGAATTTACTGAGTTTGAGGAGATTTCTGGAAATGATGTTCAGATCAGTCCTGAAGCAGTTCAAGAAGAACCAGGCACACCGGAACTAAGACGCTCCTCCAGAATTCCTAAACCAACCCAACGATATTCTCCTTCTTTGCACTACTTGTTGCTGAATGACAATGGTGAACCAGAGTGCTATGATGAAGCAATGCAAGTGGAGGATTCAGTCAAGTGAGAGTCTTCCATGAAAGATGAGATGGACTCGCTTTTGTCAAATCAGACGTGGAAATTAGCTGAATTACCACCAGGCAAGAAAGCGCTTCACAACAAGTGGATTTACAGGATCAAAGAAGAGCACGATGGGAGCAAACGCTACAAAGCGAGATTGGTTGTCAAAGGTTTTCAGCAAAAAGAAGGTATTGACTACAATGAAATTTTCTCTCCAATCGTGAAACTGTCTACAATCATACTGGTGTTGAAAATTGTAGCTGTAGAGAATTTACATCTTGAGCAGTTAGATGTAAAGACAGCTTTCCTTCATGGTGATTTGGAGGAAGAAATCTATATGAGGCAGCCAGAAGGCTTCATAGAGGCAGACAAGAAAAACCTGGTATGCAGGTTGAAGAAGAGCTTGTATGGTTTAAAACAAGCTCCTAGACAGTGGTACAAGAAGTTCGATAGTTTCATGAGTAGCAGTGGTTTTACCAGATGCCAAGCAGATCATTGTTGCTACATCAAGAGGTTCGACAATAGCTTCATTATTTTATTGTTGTACTTTGATGACATGCTCGTTGCAGGCTCAGACATGCAAGAGATTATAAACTTGAAGCAAAAATTGTCAAAGCAGTTTGCTATGAAGGATCTGGGCGCTGCAAAGCAGATTCTTGGGATGAGGATCAAGAGAGACACAAAGTCAGTGACTTTGATATTATCACAGGCTGAGTACATCAACAAAGTATTCTCCAGGTTCAACATGCAAGATGCTAAACCAGTAAGTACACCTTTAGGTGTTCATTTTAGACTCTCCAAAGAACAGTCACCAAAGACGGAGGAAGAACGTGCACACATGGTGAAGGTGTCGTACGTCTCAGCGATTGGAAGTCTGATGTATGCCATGGTTTGTACCAGACCAGATATTGCTCAAGCAGTGGGAGCTGTTAGCAGGTACATGAATAATCCGGGCAAGGTACACTGGGAAGCAGTCAAATGGATCCTCAGATATCTGCGGGGTACCACAAACAAAGCACTTTGTTTCAAAGGTGGAGATACGATACTGACAGGCTATGTAGATGTTAACTTAGCCGGAAATGTTGACATCAGAAGGAGCACTACAGGGTATGTCTATACTCTAGGAGGAACCGTAGTGAGTTGGGTTTCTCAACTACAGAAGATATTTGCTCTCTCCACAACTGAAGCAGAATATGTCGCTGTTACGGAAGCTAGCAAGGAGATGGTTTGACTCCAAAGTTTCTTGGAAGAGTTAGGCAAGAAACAAGAAAATAATGTCTTGTATTGCGACAGTCAAAGTGTTATACATCTAACAAAGAATCCGTCTTTTCATTCCAGGACAAAGCACATACAATTGCAATATCATTTTATCCGGTCTCTTCTGGAAGATGAGATTTTGAAACTTGAAAAAATCAGTGGAGCTCAAAATCTGGCAGATATGTTGACAAAGACGGTGACTACAGACAAACTGAAGTTGTGTTCAACTTCAGTTGGCATGCTAGAGTAACAAGACTAGAAAAGTTGTTGCATAGATCGAGGTGTGAAGACAGATTAAAATCAGTCTTCAAGTGGGAGATTGTTGAAAGTATTAAAATGGTTTTCAAGTTTGGTAACCAACTTTGAAAAAATGATTTTCAAAGTTTGGTAAATGTTTCTTTGAAAATGGTTTTCAAAGTTTGGTAAATGTTTATTTGAAAAATAGTTTTTCAAAGTTTGGTAGATGTTTGTTGAAAAATGATTATGGGATAATCACAATTAATCCCTAGGTTTTAGGGTATTTACAAGATTAAGTCCTTAAGTTTCAACTATAAATACCCTAGCTCATTTAGCTTCAAAACCATCCCAAAAATCATTTCTTTCTCCCAATACTAGAGAGTTTTCTTGTGAGTAGTGAGTGTTTTGTAAACACCTGTAAATTTTCTCTCTTAGTAAAAGATTTGCAGCAGTCCGGAGACATAAGCACAATTGGCTGAACTCCGTTATCAATTTCGGGTATTATTTTTCCGCTTTTGTTTTGCATTCTCACTAATCTGGTTATAGGAAAATTACTTGTACTTGGTTTATTTCCCAACACAATGATCATTACCCAGTTAGAACGGTGGCATTGACAGAAAAGGTGGCCATTCGAAGCAGTTTGCTGCAGAGTAAGCGGGGCACATTGAATATCCCAGTTGGAAAACAACTGTACTTAAACACTTCAAACAACTCATTAACCAATATCAACAATGTCAAGAAGGCCACGTTTTGATGATATTCAAGTAGACATGATTCTTTTTAGTTAGAATAATTCTAAAAGGGAAGGAGAGGATAATGTTCATTTCTTCTTTTTGTATATATTTTTAGTTGTTCCACTTGAAGCCACACATAATTTTCTAGCATGGTTTAGAACAGAACATAAATATACTCCCACACAGAAGTTTGAGAAGCTATGTGCTTTGAATCAAAGGCAATTCGGGGAGGCAATACATATACCATAGAATAGTAAAGAATACAATATTTTTTAATTATATTTATACATTTCTCATCATCAAACAGAGAATGTAGACATATCCAAAAGATGTGTATAGAAACTCAAACAATTCAACTCAACTCGACTCGAATTTCATAAAGTACTTTACTCGAATCGGAAAAAAAATTCAAGTTAAGTTTGAGTCATAAAATGTGTATTCATCAACTCGAATAACTCAAACAATTCAACTCAATTCGATTTTTTAAAGAAATCGAGATCTTTTAATTATATTTATACATTTCTCATCATCAAACGGAGAATGTGTTGACATATCCTGTAATGTTCTGCAAGTATAAACCTTTAGATTCGTTTACAAAAAGATCAAGAAGATCCATTTTATATGACATGAAATATACCACATTGGCAATTTCACCTATGTTTCCTCATCATCTGGCAATTTTCGCAGTTTCTTCCTCTAGAATTGAATCAGAAACACGCTGGTCTACCGATATGCGACCGTTAACATGTAGCATTCAGAAAATAATAAATTCACCCCATGATATAAAAATCATGTGTCCAGTGTAATATCATAGTAAAATATTATTCGTTTTCAATTGGATTACAGAGCATTGCAGTATAAAGACAAGTAGTTTCACCATTCTTTAGCTAAAAGAAGACTGCCTATGCTAAATTGATCCAAGCAGGCCACCATTTCTAGCTGAGCTTGCACTTAAATTAGTCTGAACGAGACAATAACTCGGCCCCGATCTTGAAGAAGGCATAAGCATTAGCCGTTGCAACTTTAAGCTGGTCCTTGTTAAGATTTTTCCGACCCCAGTCACTAAATACAACGGAGGTATGTTTGCTAAGCTGCAGTGGAATAATCACATTAGCCAAAGCGCCCACCCCACAGGCGGCTAAGTTAGGGTTTCGCATTACGCTGGCGGCCAACTGTCCCAACTCCACAGCGTTCTTGCATCCAAGTCCATACTCTTCCTCTAACTTGGCGACGGTTTCTTTGATCCCAATTCCCACAAATGTAAAATCTGGTAGTTGAAGGAAATTGAGGAGAGAATTGGGTATGAAGTCCAGATAAGGAAGCTGGATTACAAGACAAGTAAAGCCATCACAGAGTTCCAAAATTGCCACTCGGCTTTTCTTTTTTGAATTTTCTTCGGTTTCATGTGAATCTTGAACAAATGTCCGTTCAATGTCTAAGCCGATCACTTTCCATGAATTGTTCCTGTCAGACAGGAAGTTTTGAATGTGGCGATCGACATCCGATTCACAACTAGTGACATTGGTAACAGTCATCTTTGAGAAGGAACATGAAACAAATAACACTGAATATGGAATTTTCACAGGTAAATCATATATATATATATATATTATCCGATGCATGAATGAACATAAATAAGATTATGGAAAGTAGAACGTCCCGGTCTTTGAATATGGACAGGTGAAATAAGCATGGGTCTTTTGGAATTTCCAAAAAAACTGATCTTGCATTTAACATAGAATAATGTCTGGTTTTTTTTTGGCACCATTCATGAATCGTGAAATTGTTGATCATCTCAAAGGTGGAGCTTCGCACCATTCGAATATGGACAGGTGACAATGACCTTGTTAGGCCTTTCAGATTTCCGGTACTGTTGATATTCAACACAAATCGTTAAAGGAGAAGGCACGGACCACTTACCTCTATAGTTAAATAAATCGTTGTTATTCTTAAAAATCACATATTCAAACACTAAAGGCTGTAATAGGGTGATTGAGAATGATAAGTTTCGTTTGCCTATATCACCGGAACTAAAATCCCAAGATTGCATCTGAATTACCCAAAGCCAGAGAGAAACATCTTATGCGGCAAGATTCTTGACATAATTTGGACAATATCAAAAACGAACTCAATTTTCACTGATATATTCTTTCCTCGTCTTTTAGGTTCTTACAACATAAGAATTTCCTAGAAGCTTATTATTAAGCTGAACATTAGGCAACGTCATGTTTCCACCAACGAATCAATTGTAGCCCAAGGATGACACTATAACTTAGATAGCCGAAAGGTATTGGTTAAAAACTGGACATCATTACATGTTATCACGGTCCTAGCCCTGGGCTGGCGGTGGTAGGCCCTTGGAATCACGGATTGGATTTTATTGACTAATAACAGCCTCGAGGTTATTATTTACTCTACACAGAAAGAAAGAAAAAAAAGAATAAACTAACTATTTGGTCACCCATTTATTACTTAGTTTTTGTTTTGGTCACTTACCGGGAAAAAAATAAACAATGATATTAACATGAAACCAAAATAAATGTCACTTCGATATTGAAAAATAATATAAAAATATATCACATCAACATTTCTTTGAACGATGATGATTAAAAAAATGCTAAACCGTTAGATATAATTTAAAAAAAAAATAGTTAACTAAAACAAAAACTAAATAATAGGTGAATGACCAAATATGTAATTTACCCCTAAAAAAACGGAGGAGGTAGTTGATTTTCCCTTGTGCATTGATTACCATATCTTTCCCAATAATCACTTTCCACTGTCGACCATATTATTCTTTTAACAGTATTCATATGGCCAGTAGACATATAAATAATACACCCATAATATCATTCAATGAACCGAATCTTTGAGATGTAGACGCAAGAAAAGGATGCGAGTTATTATGCAAGTCGATCAATGAGGCCTAGTTGAGTTATTGTTCCATCTGCCCCCCACTAAATGTGCAGGTGTCATTAGTGCTATACGAACAATCGGGGTTTCGATGATTCCCGGACAAATAGAAAGCTTTCTAAGCTTCCACATTAATTGTTTTCTCTGATGAACCCTTTCCCTCGAGCAACAGATTCGTTTGATAAATAACAAAGACAAAAGGTATAGGACAAACAAGGGGTCAGAAGAATTAAAGAAGAAAGAAGCAATTTCCCTGCTGCATAATCTCTACATATCCAGAGCCACCAAATGAGGCAAAAAAAGAAGAAGAAAAAAAACCAAGTCCAAGTTATATATATAGCAATATTCATCGTGGTTTGTTTGAAGAGGAACCAGCACTTGCCATCAAGAAAATTACTATACCAGTGAACTGATCATTTCTCTGTACCTTCTTCACACCCCAAGTGAGAGAACTACATGTAAAGGTAATTGGTGTTCTAGTCTACTCCTCTTTCAGCATATGGGAAGGTAGAATGTCCTGAAGAAGGCCATGATCTTTAAGCAAAGGCGGTCCTGGCACTGAGGTGCAAATACGCTTCTCATGAAGAAAACGGGCATTCATGGAACCAATATTATCGGTAAATGGTTGTTGATGATGATGATGATTGCTGATAGTGAGCTGGAGTTCTTTGCATTGGCATGCCAAAAGCTGACATGGGTGAACTCAGATGAGAACCACAAAGACTCGGACGAGGCATGATCGGGCTGAGGTGAGTGTGTTGGCCTTCGTAAGTGGTGACCACAATGCTTGGATCACTGAAAGATCGCTCGACTCTTTTCTTCACATTACATGAGGAGGCGGTGCAACGATAATAACTCCTTGGAGAATTAAAACAGTGTAAACTCATTATCTGAGATTTTATCTAAATTGGTGAAAAGAATAGCATACCGAATGAGGGAACTAAAATAGGTTAAAAGTTTGAACATTGGGAGTTGGTACCTAGGAAAGGAGCTGTTTTTTACAGCTTTCTGGCCGTACTTTCTCCATCTGTACCCATCTTCCAAATGATCAACCTCGCTCTTTGTCATGAACGCGAATCTCGGTTCTCTCTGTCTCTTCTGGTTTGTCTTCTTGGGTTTCAACCTAAACCCAGAAACGCCAAAAGAACATCTCCATCAGCTTCCAATCACATTGATGGACAACAAAACCCTCACTTCTTTTCCAAATTAGTTCCAAAAATGAGACTCGTTTGGCGGTAAACAGAAACACAGGCTCAAACATAGAAATAAAAGGATCCATCTTCGTGTCTTTAGTGGTCTCTCCCACACGAAAAAAGAGTAAATAGTAAGAAAAAAGGTTTATAGAAAGAGAAAGAGTTGAACTCACTGTTTCTTGGTTTTTTGCTGGTTTTCTTCTCGGTCATCTTCTTTAACTGGTTCGTCATTAACAGCCTCACTTGATGCAGTTGAAATGGAGGAAAAGTTAGGAGTCGCGGGCTGATTAATAACCTCGGCAGAGTCGATCTTCTTGGAAGGAGGAGTGGAAACCTGCTGTGCTGCCATGATCTCCAAGAAGGGAGGACCGATCAAGTCTTGAACACCCAGCAAGTCCATAAACCCTAAAGAGCGGACCTTCATGTCTTCGCTGCTACACAAATCAAATATACTTTTTAATGGGAAATTATTCACTGCGTACTCAGAATACGATGAGTTTTCCCAGTACATCTTCGATCTTTACACCCTCTTTTCTCTCCATCTATCAATCAAATACTCCAGTTTTTGTTTATCCAAGAAAAAAACTTGCACTCGGCAGAGAGAGAGAGAGAAGTGTTGTTTAGCGAGAGAAAGAAATAGAAGAGAATTTCAGAAGAAGATAGCTTGGAAGAATTAGACGAGAGAGAGAGAGAGAGAGAGAGAACTAATAAATGATCGACGGGCAACTGTAGGTCAAATACTTGTACGGAAGTTGAACAGTACCGGTTGTCATTCATGGGTACATCTTTGATCGGCTTTAAACTAGTTCGCAGTGTGAACGGATCTCACTTTTGTATTTCATTCGTGATTTTTAACTGCGGACCCCTTAAACACATTGTTAAATAAAATATATATCTAGTTAACATGTAATCTTGTAGGCTATATCAGTATATGTTAATAAGAAAAGGGCCACGTGTACGGTTGTGAATTCCGTTTAAGAAGATAAGATAACGTATGCATTAATGTAATTCTTATTAATTAAATCAGGAAGGGGGAACTTTCATTCATTCGTCCTATATTTTTTTTATTAAACTAATGAATCATAAAGTTTATAATTTTCGACATCCAAAAATTGATATTATCAAATAATAAAATTATTTTTTATAATGTGATTTGAGCATTTAAATTTTTAAATTTTATTTAACAAATTTAAATTTAATTTAAAAATCATACATCCATAATTTTATAATATCATATCAAATAATTTTTATTTTGTATGGTAAAAATTTAATATTTTTAATATAAATTTAAAAGATTATATTTATTTTATCTATAACTATTTTATTTTCAATTCAACGAACCTAATAAAAATTTTTTCAATTAAAATTAAGAGTAAAATTAAATTTTTAATTATAATTGAAGGGTCAAATGAGATATTTCTTAATGGTTTTGTGACTATTTTGTAAAAAAGTTAAAATTTAATATTCATTAAGTATCTTCTAAAAGTTAAATGTTCAAAAGGATAATTTTGACATAATTTAATGACCATTTGTAAATTTTACCCTATAAAATTAGTGGTGAAATTATTTCAATTAAAATTAAGAGTAAACTTAAATTTTAATTATAATTTAATGACCATTTTTAAATTTTATCTTATAAAATAATAACATATTTCAACGGGTGAAATTTGCATGAAGATGATGACACCAGGAAGGACGTGCCTTTGATTGTTCCTTGAGTTCGGCTTTTTTGGGCCATAAGAAAATATATAATAAGTTGTACCGTGCGGCAGCCCTAGTATACGCCTAAAGAAAAGTGTTATTATTTTTTATTATTATTTTTTTTAATAAAATCGGTAAAAAATTATCTAAAAATTATTATTTATAACTAAAATATTAATATTTTTTAACATTTTCGATAAAGTGTCCAGTAATAACAAAACAGATAGAAAAAATAATGTTTTAGGTAGCGCTTTACCAGATATATTAATAAAACCGGTAAAACGTCTAATAATAATAAAACTAATATAAATAATAATGTTTCCGATAATTTTTTATCGATTTTATATAAAAATAATAGTAAAATCGATAACTTCTTTCTTTAGACGTATGTTAAGAATGTCCCACAAGAGATTTTCCCAAAATATATGTTTACGTTTCATGCCATCTCCTTTGATCCTATCACGTAACGAGATTTGGTATCATTGTTTTAATTGGACCGTTCAAGACGTTTATTAAAATAATAACAATTTAGAGTAACACAATCTCATGATTTTCATTTTTTCCCATCGAAGTGGGTGAGTTTAGGAAGAGACCTTTAATATTAAACCTCAATTCAAGTTCCCAGGGTTCTTTTGAAAATAAAAAGGGAATCTGAGCTTACTTCTCTATACGTAATTATTGACATTCTAGGTAATATAATACTAATACCAATTATAACTATATAAAGA